CCGAACGACAGCACACAAGTTTGCACTTCAGACTAACAATACGGCGTAACTGCCGTATCAAACCCGCACTCTGTGTGCAGAAACAGCTTTTCGTAAGCCTACGGCTGCCCTGGGCGTAGGGGTGTCACGCCTGCCCCTCTACCCTGTTCTAACTTGTTCCGGTCTCATCCTACCTGTCGTCTTATATATTTTCATGTTATTGTGTTGGCACTGAAGAGACAGTACGAAATGTTGACATCTGCCAGGGTTCGTCTTCTTACGGCATTATTCAAATTACTAAGGGGATCTAATTGCTTCCAAGTTATGTCTGTCTACCGCGATTTCGTAGGGTTGGTGAGCACAATGTTTGCCTGCGCCATGTCCTTACTCGATGAACAGAAATCAGATCAAGTAATCTTAGTAGTGTAGAGCATCGCCGAATCGTTTTGTTAAATAGGTAACGTGGGTGCGGAAATGAGAAGTCGTAAGAGCGTTCCACCTTTGACAAACTCGGAGGGAAAAATAATTCCAGCCACATTCCGACCGACTGTATTGGGTGGCACGTTTCAACATATGATCCCCTCAATTCCGTGTTGCCGCTAAGCTTAAGGAGGTGGCGGCAGGCTTGACCAGGGTCTGTTAAGATCTGAAACGTCAGAATGAGGTCACCTCGTAGACAACGATATCTTCCGCTGCAAACTCCCAGGGCACACAGTCGCCTATAGTATTGCAGGTGGAACAACTCTACATATTTTTCGTTGCTCTTCCTTGGACGGTCTCCAGCGCAGCCAGATCGCCTTCTAACTAGATTGTAAAACGTGCATCGCGTACGCTACATGGGGCCTCACATATGCATTGGGCATTTGGGGGAAGATGGAGGGACTGAACCGCCCGAACGCCCTGCGTTACAGAGCAACATGTTGTTCGCGGTATTGGACGCCTTTAAGGACTGCGCCGAACAGCCGAGATGGTCTTGCGTCACAACCCCAAGGTCTCGCTCTTGTGATGTGGCCTCCAGCATGTCGTCTCCAAGCTTATATTCGTAAGTGGGCTTGTGGCGGACGTGTACGGTTTTGCACTTTCCGTGTTAACGAGGATTAGGTTTGCATTTGAGCATTCAAAAGAGTGTTCTAAGTCTCTTTGCAGCATATCGTGATTTTCCTGACAACAGATCGCCCGCCATAACTTGATGTCATCGGCGAAAAGTAGGAAATTTAACTTGGTGACAATCGCAAGATTGTTAACGAAGAACAAGAATAAACGCAACCCCAAAGTCGACCCCCTGTGGAACACCGCAGTCCACATTGATTGCATTAGGAAATGAGCCCCGAACTCAAACCTGAAGGCGCCGCTGAAGAAAGCTCCCGATCCATCAAAGAACAGGATTCCCAACTCTGTACGCCTACAGCTTTTGGAGAAGAATGAGGTAATCTATGCGGTCGAAGAATCTAGAAAATTCAAGCTATATGACATTATTGCCGGTCCCCCTGTCGGTTATCTCGGTCCAACTGCCACGGGCAATAAGTAGGTTGGTAGTACATGACCGATGACGGGAGAGCCTATTGTGCGCTGAGGCTGGTGGTGGCTAGATCCTGACAGATGGTCCACCCACTGATGCTACTGTTGTGCCATAGGCTTATGTCCTGGACACCTCCTCGTGGCGACCGCTGAGTGGAGGTTGGGTTACTACCTTCTCCCTGCTAAGATCCAGGACACCAATCCGCATGAGTCGGCTAACTGACCATGTGCTAGACCCGCTGCCTTTCGGGTGTTCATTTAATCGAAGGCTTTGGCTGAGGACCCGAGTCGTTCTCCTGTCAGGTGTGGGCGCCCTGCCAGTATTCTAGTCCATCCCCTTCGGAGGTTAGGAAGTAGTCGTTTACAAATTAACATGTCGTATGGTAATATAACAGTAGACGATTTCAAGCGGTGGAACTCTCACGAGCAAGGTCAATATGTCGAGTTACAATTACAGCGGGATATAAAGTAAATCAGCATGGATGTTGCTCAAAATTTGGTTGCGATGCTACCGTTGATAGGTCTCAACCTGGTAGTTATGAGTAATCTGAGTTAGCTCACAACACTCCTGATGAGGCGTGGTCTGCATGACCAGGACAATTGGGCCAAAAATAAAAAGGGGTTAGGAATAAAGCCAAAAAGCACATCAGAGTTAGTTTTACATGTATCGTTGTTACAAGATCTTATATTCTTTGTCAACTTGCAGAAGTATTGTCTTGTGCCCAGAGTAAATAGGCGATATGATGCACATCGAGACTCAATCTCTCTAAATTGGATGGACTTTGCATTCTGAGGCCAATCCAGGGGTTTCTGTAGTGTAGATGGTGACATTAACTGTGTCAAGTGCTCAGGAATTAATGTGTACCTGGTGTAACTGTTTCAAGGTTTCTTCACAGTAGTGCGAATTCAACGAAGCTCTTAAGCTAGGTCTGAGCTGGAGTAGAAGCCGGCTGAGAGAATTAAGCGCTCAAGTTCGCACAGCTAATGCGATTGTATCAAGTTCCACCGATGCAACAGAGAGGATCTGGCATACGCCGAAAATTATCCCGCACGTTTCAGTTGCTAATATTGTGAATCGTACGCATGTACGAAAGCATCATCGGTTGAAAATAAAGGTTAACCTGGATTGAGTGCAACCCCGATCAGTGGCTAATGTGCAGAATAAGATGCTCAGACAGTTACTGGATCAATCTCTCTGGTGAGATAATCGCACGCTCTAAAAACCAATTAAATGTTCTCATCAAAGTCACACGCAAGCTGCTCCGAACCAACGGGTGTCATCAGGGTTGGTTCTAAATACCTAGGTAAATCAGCTACGACTTAACACAAACTCAAACGCAATATTTCTCATAGATCCTGGTGAGGGTAGCTGAAACTACTACAGATTGATGTGCGCATAAAAACCGCTTGCGTCTTTTAGTAATCGATAAACCAGACAGTGTATGACGGGTTACGCAGTGCAGAGTCGCATTTATATGAGAACATCTGAAGGCTGGAAGCTTCCCACAACTGTTAAACAAGAATGTTGAAAAGATGATTCAACATCTGAAGGAAAATCGACAATCAATGCCAACATAAATGTGTGCTGACGTAAAATACGAACACACAAGCTGAATGAATCGCGCATCTGCACTGAATAGAAGCTTGGTAGGCATACGGACAGCGTAAGATAGCGAAAAAAAGGTGAAGTTGGGCTTTTGAGAGTAATACTATCCTTGGATTGACCATTGTGTGCATTCTTGCTAACACCCGGTGCTATGTAAGGGTACACAGAGTACGAGTATTCTGGATTTCCTTACAAATGTAGTGATCATGTTGCTGAGCTTAAGAAGGAACAGGTAAAAGGTGCCGAGCATTGAAATTGCAAGCTGTGTCACATACACTTAGGCAACTGAGTAATTATTATTTCTGACGTCACTTAACGCGGCTGAATTTAACCGACAGGCGGATAATTTGTCTGATTTTAAAGCTTGGTGCGTTTATTTCCCGATCGGCTTTGACATCATTGAACAATAATTCATTGGGTTGATAATACAAAAGATTCTCGACGAAAAGAAGCCCCAGGCAGCCATTTGTTGAATTTAGCAGTTCGCTAGCTTGACAAAGTAAAGGACGAAAAACAAAGGGATTGGGATATGTTTGCGCCCTAAGTTAAGCGCTCCCAGTATTTAATCATTGGTTTTGATACCCAAGCTCTCTTGGAATGAAGTGTTTGAAATTTCACTGCAGCTACCCGGATGTATAGAAATTATTCCCAGGTCTAAGTGAAGAGTTCAGATTGTTCTCCAAAGAGATCGGTTCCTTTACAAACGCTTTGCTGCCAGATTGAATATAAGTACCTGTGTAAGTTACTTCTGTCTTTGTTTTCATTGCCGGTCTCGGAAACGGTATGCTAAGATGAAACCAATGCCCAACAACAAAAGGGAAGCTGTACCAATGATATTTCACTTCCACGGAATTTAAACTGGCGTGGTTGTTGAATCGGTAAGGGGATAACGCAGCAACGAAAATGGTATATTAGGCGCAGAACAAGTTCATACGTCGCAAGTGCCTCAGGATGGCCTGTGTGAAATACCAAATTTCCAGGAAAATAGCTGCCCACCAACTGAACCGCGTACCTGCGGATACGCCATAAGTTCCACAACGGCTCGAACCCACAACTCGATTGTTGCGAGTTTGTGATCGAGACCACTGAGCTAAGGGGGACGGCAACGACCGTCGTGACTAGGTTACTAGAAGTGATATAATGTCGCACACAGTGCAATTCCGAGCGTGTAGTGGCTATCTGGTTGAGTCTAGATGTGATGAATATCTTCCTGTATCATCCCATTATTGCCTCAATAATGATCGCCTCTATCAGCTTTGAGAGCACTGGCAGCAGCGTCTCTGGATGATAGTCTGCAAGCTCTGCATAACAACAGGGGCAATGTTACCCTGTTTTGCATGTTAGGAACTAATTCCTCTTTGGAGCACCTCTGAAAGAACCATGAGAATGACTTGGCTATCCTCAAAGTTACAGCCTCGAACCCCTCCAGGAAAATGTCATCAACTCTGGGAGAACTTGGCTGCTCAACGAGTGCAATTTTCTTAATATAGTCACTGAACCAATGGTGACTTTGGTAATTCGTTATGTCCGGTTTGAGAAGGTATGTGACCCCAAATGGTGACACGTGGGGACCTTGGAGCACATTATGGCCTTGTAGCGTTAGTTGCATTCTCGGAAATCGAACTGCTCTGTTGAGGGAATAAAATAAATCCTCACTGTCGCAACGAAGCTGGATGTATACACCGGTGTTCTTGGATATCAGTCACTGATCGCCAATAAGCATGCGAAATATCACGCAAAGAAAGTCGGTACTGGTCTTCGGAATGTTGCTTAGAAAGGAATACTACAACGAACAAACCCACAGTAAAGCATTGTTGTAGTGAGAACGACGCGGAAGGAGGGGGCAGAGCGTACAATGCCACAGCAATGTGCCACTAATATCTCATATTCCGTACAGCTATGGACCGTGGTTCCTTCCAACAACGCAACGCGGATGAGGGTTTGTGTCATAGACAATTCCATAAGTCTTACGAGCTTAAGCCTGGGGAACAATCCCCACCAGATTTTCATCCCGGATCTCCGCTTCGCTATCACCGATTCTGGCCAGCCAGGAGTTGTGTGAAAGCTCACGATCCGCTTTCCCGTGGCTGTATTACTCGACCCGCGTTCAGTCCTGTGGACTTCGCTAGTCTGATTTCTATTGCCTCTAAATTGCTTGCCTCTGTCATCCTTCACAGACTGACTAGCACTCGTGAAAGCCAGATTCGCGAAGAACAAGCTGGATTTCGTCGAGATCGTGGCTGAATTGACCACATCTTCACCTTGCGTCAGTTGTTGGAGCACCGTCACATATATTGGCGGCCCACCGTTGTCGTGTTCCTCGATATCAAAGATGCATTCGATTCGGTGGATAGACATGCACCTTGGGACTGCATACTCAGGAAAGGTGTGCCCGAGAAATATGTAAATATTATCCGAGCACTATACGCGCGTAGCTCGGGCAGAGTGAGGGCTTACGACAAGTTGTCGTCGCCCTTTAATATCTCCAGCGGCGTGAGACAAGGATGCCCGATGTCACCCTTCCTCTTCAACTTCGCTATTGACGAAGTCATGGAGTTTGCATTTACACGACACGGCTTATATCTGAAGCTACTCCCAGGAGAACAACTTCTTGATTTAGAGTATGCAGACGACATCGCCCTCATCTGTGACAGCTCCCAGATGCCCTGGACAGATTAGCACTGGTTGTCAGCCACTTCGGGCTTTACTTTGCTTTATCGATGTGCAAAGCTTTTCTGCAAGATTGGCAAGGATCGCCTCCTGCGCTGACCCTTGGTGTGGATCAGCTAGAAGTTGTTCGGAAATTAAACTACCTGGGAAGTTGTATCAGCGCCCGTGGGATTGAAGATGGGATCACGAACCGCACAGCAAAAGCTCGGGGCGCTTTTGTTAACCTTCGCCACTTATGGCGCCGGCGCGACATCACTCTTGCCCTGAAGGGTAAAGTGTACAATGCAGCAGTATGTTCGACCCTACTGTACGGTTGTGAAACCTGGCCGCTTAAAGCAGCGGACCTGAAGAGGCTAGTTTCGTTCGACCACCGGTGCCTTCGTAATTTAGCTCACATTTGGTGGGAACACCGCGTGAGCAACGAGCGTGTTCGACGCCTTGTTTATGGCACAGGAAATGGAAATGAACCGTTCAGCAACGTCATTTCACGCATCAGGCTCCGATGGCTCGGCCACGTGTTACGCATGCCAGCCCACCTACTCCCGCGACGTGCGTTGCTTGCGCGCCGGGGGTGTGGATGGAAGAAGAGGAGGGGTGGCAAAGCGATGACTTGGTCCAAAGGAATGAAGGCCCTCACTTCTGAACTGGCCTCGGTTGGAGCGTCTCGGCTCCCTGGTTGGGGTCCGAAGGACGATGAACACGTTTGGTTGGACACACTTGTTGATTTGGCTAGGAGCCGACCTCAGTGACGTTCGTGCTGTGTGTTTCTTTGTCCCACGCCATCCCTCTTAGCCTCCCCCTCCAACCACGATCTCATTATTTAGCTTTATATAATCTCGCATAGTATTTTTTTGATGCACAGTAGCCGGCTGGTAGCTTACCGGAACGATGCCCATCCGTTACCGGTAGCTCAGCCGGCTTGCACCAGTTGCATTTTCCCCCTCCTTTTTCTGTTTATTGCGGCACAGTAGCTGAGGTGTTCCCCACCTCTAGCTAACGTGTATGATGATGATGATGATGAATTCGCTAGCCTCCTATGTGCCTGATTCACTACGTTCTCGACAAATACCTCCTCTTTTGTTCTGGTACCAGGCTAATTACCAGAGGTTGCTCTTGATCCGTTGTAGGCCCGATCCGCAAGGCTCACACTGCGTGCCTCGTCTCATCCATTGCGCACGTTGGCAATTCGCTACTATATCATTTTTGTTATCTTGTCGGTTCACGAGTAGTCAATGGTTTCCGCCACCCTACATGATGAATAGCTGTGCAGTTTGTGTACCATAGCAGGTTTGCAACTGGAAGTCTTTTGATACCAGTCGGTGTGATTATAATCACTTGAACCTGTCTCACCACTGCGAAGCCGACACGTCACGATAGGCGATGTCCACTGAACAAAGTGGATACTTCGCAGAGGAAAGCATAATCCCCTATAATGTTCTGCTCCATTACCCTACGCTAGCCCTAACACAGCCAATTCACCGCACCATGATGTCGAATAAAAATTACACCTTTCGTATGGTAACGAGAAATCGTATCCTGAACGGGGGGGGCGCTACGTGTAAAGCAACCTCGAAAAGTACATGAGTATGTGAGCAAATAGCTCATGCCAATGTATAACGCGGACCATAAAGATTATGAAGTAATCGGTGGGGAAAAATGGAAACATCGAACAAATGAAACGAGAAAAGCATATTTGAAGACTGAATTTCAGTAAAAGGTAGGAATAAAACGTTGAAAGGAATCATTTCTTCGTAACATAGACCCTATGATGTTGCATATATCATGCTGCTTCACCACAGATGGGCTACACCGACTTACACTTAAACGGAATCTGCTTCACTTGATTTGCTCACTGCTGTTATTCAGCTGCACAAACCGTGTCAATTTGCGTGTTTTTATTCCTAGGAATTCTATATTTGCCATTTTATATCCCCGGCGTGGCTACGTTCGATGGGAATGTTGATAAGGTGCCTACCTACCTAACATCCTACACCTCGATTACTGGCTCCAAGAGACTGTGAATCGTTGCTGAGGGGGGACGGGGTGGTATGGTCCGCGTGAGCGTTCTAGGCTCAAAAAGTGATTCCATGCATCCAGCCACCACCTTGTGTACGTCTGGTACGCATAGCTCCCCACAAAGATAGACAGGAATGCTGATGCTGTGCACCGTGAGGCAGTGTCCGTCGGCTCCGTCAATGAAACTTGGCTGCTGTTCACATGCCTCTCGGTCTTATTCCTTTGAGCGTACACTGGATACGTGTGTGGATGGAGCTGTGGGTGGTGCAGCGCAAGCCACTCGTAGTCTCTCTGTAAGCGCAGGCGTCTTATGGCTGTCCTATTGAGGCCGTAGCGAAGGCAAATTCAGAATTGAATGCTGCCAACTAAGTGTACGGGATTCGGATGATGGATAGAAAGGGGAATAGTAGGACTATTATAGCCCTATAGTTTTCTTTGGATTATACAGTTTGGTCCAAACAGTCTGATGGACTGATAAAATATGTACAGATCAGAATGAGATGAAAAGCACACTGAACTAGCTGAACGTTTCCAACAAGTTGCCGATAGTCCAGAGGAAGAAGAAATGACCTATGGAACATGAAGGGGAATTCGGTATTGCTTATCTTCAAGCCAATTCTTTGGAGTGTGACATATTGCGCATTGATTGAAATGAAAGTATACTGTGGCACTTAAATGTAGGGGCTGAATGGACTTGGTTAGCATTTCCTCTAAGAACCTATTTGCAAGTGAAACCGTAAGGACTGTATGGTCGAGCGAAAAGTAAGTATCTCTGTAATGGAGATAAGCTAGGGAGAACATACCGTATTTCCTTGCAACACCACTTGAATTTAGCAGCTGACAGACTGAGGAGGTAGGGTTATTGTTTTCTCATATACCTCAGATAACTGCATGAGCTGATTTTAGAAGGACCAAGTTCCCAGAAATAAACAGTGAATTCTAAATGGAACAACCTGTCTATTTGCTCAAGTGAGAGTTGCAAGTCGTACCCATACTCGAGTCAAAGATATGACACAGGCAAGCAACGAAGATGGAAAAAATACTCGTAGATCGAAAATAAATAGCTGTCAGTACTAAGGTGATTGGCTGTTTACTATTCCTTGCGGAATAATTCTTCAGTAGAACAACAGCTTGAACTAAAGAGCCGAGCAGTTCACGGTTAATGCAACCAAGGGCGTTGCTAAAGTCGACTAAACACATGCGGGCCGATTTGTTGTTCTTAACCAAAGAGGCCCCCCCTGTGGCAACTAATGTGGACCTTGAACTGAGAAACGTGAACGGATGGCAGTCATCCAAACGCTAACATTCTTCCAAGAATAAGCCACTCAAAAGTCTTCAAAGCAATAAAACTGCAAGCAATTGGTCTAAATTTGTGTCCCTTGCCTTGTCATTATAATTTGCAAAAAATGAGGGAAGCTGACTTGTTACACATTATAATGAGTAATTATACCAATCGTAAGGGATTAATCATTTGCACTCATTTACACAAACCGCTTGTTGTCACATAAAATGACCCGTGGACTAAATGATTACAAATCTGCTTTGTAATCAGAGGATGAGGGTTCGAGTATATATATATATATATATATATATATATATATATATATATATATATATATCGCGGGAGAGCCTATGGGGCGCTGAGGCTGGTGGTGGCTAGATCCTGACAGATAGTTTACCCACTGCTGCTACTGTTGCGCCATAGTCTCATGTCCTGGGCGCCTCCACGTGGCGACCGCTGGGTGGGAGTTAGGTTTCGCCCTTCTCCCTGCTAAGATCCAGGACACCAATCCGCATGAGTCGGCTAACTGACCATGTGCTAGACCCGCTGCCTTTCGGGTGTTCATTTAATCGAAGGCTTTGGCTGAGGACCCGAGTCGTTCTCCTGTCAGGTGTGGGCGCCCTGCCAGTATCCTAGTCCATCCTCTCCGGAGGTTAGGAAGTGGTCGATGGCCCTCTTCCCGTAAAACCTAGCCATGGGAAACAACAGGTTTACGGGTTATAAGCTCACAGCTCGATTGGCGTAGAGCACGAGTGCCACGCATTGTCTCTGACGGTGGGAGGACACCTCCGGGTGTTCAATGGTTTGCTACTGCCCGCCTCAAGCCAGGCAGCCCCTGGTCAAATTGGTGCAAACCCGCCAAAAACCCACTTGCGTCTGGTCGTGGTCGCAGGTGCGTATCCAATTACGGTCGCAAAACATATGATAACTGTTCCAGAACCTCAAAGGCTGCGTGTGACGGCCGTCAAGCAGATCCCCATCTGTCTCTGCAATCACATTCCCGAGCTGGATCTGCCCTCCACTGCCTTGTGGGTCAGGCTATTGAGCCAAAGGCTCCGGGCGGAGTCCCTCAAGCAAACCTCCAAACCACACACTGCCTTGTGGGTCAGGCTATTGAGCCAAAGGCTCCGGGTGGAGTCCCCCAAGCAAACCTCAAAACCACCCAATGCCTTGTGGGTCAGGCTATTGAGCCAAAGGCTCCGGGTGGAGTCCCTCAAGCAAACCTCCGAAGCACAACGACCACCTCGCGTGCGATTGCCCACCAATGCAATCGTAT